GTTAAACTTTTTTTTTGGTTACGCATAGTATATTTCCCACGGAGCAAATACAAAGAGGAGATGGCCTAAGCAACTGCACTGTGATTCCAACTAGATCCTGACGTCATCACAGTGGGTGTGGTTTTAGTTACTATACTGTCAGCGTTCGTCCTGTGCGCTTATGTGTCAAAATCGCAATTCAGTGTATTTTCGTAGTATTAAGAAGAAATGGTTGAAGTGTTGTGTTTTATCGTGTAAAAACTACTCAGTTAGACGCTCTGATGCTATGGATGGCATCACATTTCATTCGTAAGTAATTTTATACCTAATTTATTAAAATAGTTCTAGAAAAATCTCTGCGTGGACTTTCCAATATAATTAAATATATTCGACACTAGATGGCGATACTTTGTGTGATGTGCACTAAAAATATAAAGGTATGTAGAGCTCAGTATTGGTAAAATAATCATACGAAGGTGCTGAAATTTGTTTTGCATTTAGTCAAGAATTTTCAATCGCCAAAATATTATTTTTATAGTTTTTATAATCATTTTGTGTAGAGGCCGCCATCTACCGTCAAGGTAGTTAAACTACATTGCAACATCGTTATGGCACGATGCGAGTAGTTTTACTATTTATCGGTAGATGGAAAATAGTTAAGTGGGAGGGGCTTACCATCCCGCAAATTGTCACGCGTTGTTACATAGTGAAATCTAATTACAACACCTCTTTGTTTTTGCTCCATGATAATTACATACATATTACTCTGATATTTGCACAATTAATTCACCTATTAATTGATTAAAATTGAATATTAATATTGATTTCTATCAAAATAAGCCATGAATTAAAAGAAGAAAAATATTACATTTGTTTGTCAACGTCTTTCATATTGAAAATATTTTCTGAAATTGATTCAAATTTATTGAATAGGTTTGGATTTTAATATTTGTTATTGCGTTTTGCTTAAATTCAGTTATTACCGGTTCAGAATACTTCATTTTCGTTTGTGGGCATTTCTTAAGGATTTTTTTGTTTTTTTTTGACACTGTATGAGATATTAATATAAATTAATTTATCATATAAAATTTGTATGCACGATGTGTGATCAGAATCGAAAGTAAATTAAGCGTTATGCAAACAAAAAGCACAAAATCATCTGATCACTTTCTGCAGGTTTCCCAAAATAGAAGAAGAAATACTTTTGACAATATTGTGGTAAGTCTAAGCATTTTCAATTTATTGATCGTTATTTGTAGGGATTATTAGTATATTAACTCGAATTTTATCTATTTCAGATCATGTATTTGGGCTGAGTTAAGTTTTTACCATGAGAATTTCGCCGATTTAAAACGTTAATTTTCTGTGAAGGATAACTTTCACGAGAACATATGTTATAAATCAATATTACGCGTGGAAATATTATGTGCAAAAGCAATAAAAACATTAATAAAAATACGAGAGCGACAATGAAAGTTTTTAGAACTGGCCACTTGTAAACGATGTAATAAAAAACAAGTTCAAATTTTGAAAATGGAACTTTTTGCCAATATTATTGTGTATGTATTTTATTAATTTGTCATTTGTTTACAATTTGGCAAATTTTAAATTGTGTCATGTCAGCATGAATTTAACGCGAGAAAATTTACGTACAATGATTTTCATGACTTTCGATGTTATTTAAGTCAACAAGAAAGTTATGATAGATTTCGATTGGCCTTTGACGATGAAGCCCCATCTCGTGCCACTGTTTACAACTGGTTTAATGAGCTTAAACGTGGTCGCATTAATCTCACCGATGATCTGCGTGAGGGATTCTACGGCGACGACTGAAGATAACATCAGTGTTGTGCGGTGAATGATAGAGAGTTACTTATCAGCAGATTCGGACAAGCTTAGGCATCGGTATGAGTCAAGTGGACAAAATCCTCCATAAACATTTAGGGGCCAGGAAGCTTTGTGCCTGGTGGATACCTCATAATTTGACAGAGAGTGTTGATTGGTATCGTGAAATGGTTCAAAGATTTAACGGAGGTGACTCAAATGCTGTGTTCGACATACTTACGGGTGACGAAAGCTGGATTTATTGTTATGATCCTGAAACTAAGAGACAGTCTGCTGTCTGAATGTTTCCTTCCGAGGAGTTGCCAACTAAAGTGAAGAGAGGTCGAAGCGTGGGAAAAATGATGGTGGTCTCGTTCTTCGGAAGGACAGGTCATTACGCAACAATTGTTTTAGATGATCGAAAAGCAGTTACTGCAGAGTGTTACACTAACAATTGTTTGCCACATATCTTGGAAAAAGTTCGAGAGAAATGACGTCGCAGTAGGATCCTCTTACACCACGACAACGCCTCGTCGTACACCGACAAGCAAACAATCGACTACTTGGTGACGGTAGACGTGAAATTATTGGGTCACCCGCCCTATAGCCCCGACAGCACCTTGCGATTTTTATTTATATACGAAAATAAAAGAAAACCTTAGGGAAAAAAGGTTTTATGGATGCCGAGGAAGCAAAGGCCGAGTGGGCAAACTGCTTTTCTCAGTGGTTCCATCGGATGCAGCGATGTATTGATGTAAATGGACACTATTTTGAAAAGATATAATAAAACTAATAACTTGCTAGTTTGTTCGGTTTTTGATTTTCTAAGAACTAAAAAAGCTTTTAGAAAAATTTCCCAGCACCGCTACTTCCAACACCACTACACTAGGCAAGACATACCACTGACGATAATACGACACGTGTTTCGCCTCGGAATTAGTAGTGACGGAGATAGTGCACGCAATTGAGGGAGGGCGGGAGGTGCTCTTCATACTAGGAAAGACACATCATTTTATTTTATAACGCGGATATTTGCGAAGTAAATTTTTCTAAAAGCTTTTATATAATGGATTTCCGCAAAGTAACGCCTGATTCTATTAATTATTTCTAAGAACTTTTAGTGTCATCCTCGTATATAGTATGTAAAACAATCTCTACCAAAAATAGAATTACTTAACTATACCTAGTAGTAGTTTTAGTTTTATTTTATCCCAAATACTCCTCTAAAGTAAATTTGAGTAATTTTGGTGCAACCTCTCAAATGTATGGGAATTCACTATAGGTTTGTGAGACTCGAGACGCAGAATTACTGAAATTTGCTTTAAATAAACAAAAAGTTTGAAAGTTACAGAATACAAGGTTTAAAATTATCGCTAAAAAGTTTTATATGGGCGCCCACCGTGGCGCTATTAGTGTACACTCATAAACACGTGTTTCCGTTTCTTTAGTATGAAGTTGCCGTTTTTCTCTCGGTAGAGAGTAATTGTGTTCTGTGCATTGGCTAAACTGGGTTTTTCTGACGTCCATGCTGCTAAGCATTTTTGACATTCTGGAAATATATGAATGACCTTTTTTTATAGAAGATGGGGCAAACGAGCATGCGGCTCACCTGATGGTAAGTGACTACCGCCGCTCATGAACAACCGCAACACCAGGGGAATTGCAGATGCGTTGCCGGCTTTTTAGAAAGGTGTAAGCTCTTTTCTTGAAGGGGTCCCTAAGTCGTATCGGTCCGGAAAAGTCGCCGGTGGTAAAAACAAAAAGTAAAACGCACCGCCAAGCATCCAGATGATGAGAATGGTATCGTGAATTTTGACGCGATGTGCGTTCGTGAAATTTGGCGGCTGGAATTAATCCGAATAATTCATCAGAGCACTCCCCGTGGTAATACGATAGAAAATGCAAAGAGATGCAACATCCCTACGCAGTGCCAGTGTATCGAGCCAATCAGAAAGAACTCGGTCGTCGACGATTCGAACCGCTCTGCGCTGGATGCGGTCAAGTGGAAGGAGCTGACATTGGGGTGCCCCGGCCCAGAGATGAGAACAGTATTCCATGTGAGGCCGGATTTGTGCTTTGTAAAGTTGCAAGCGTATGTGCCAGCATGAAATACTGTCTCGCTCTGCTGAGTACGCCAAGCTTTTTAGAGGCCAATTTGGCCTTCCCTACCAAGTGACCACGAAACTGCACACTATTCGATATGTCGACGCCAAGGATTCCGATGCTAGCTAAGGCAGCAAGAGGAGTGCCTTGAAACTGATACGAGAAAGGGGTCCTTTTTAGCGGTAATTAAACTGGACTAGATTTAGTCGCCCCCAATCCGAGACTTTGTTCAGCAAAGACTCGATTTCAGACACAAGTTTGTCCCGGTACTCGGCGACGTCTCCCGAGAAATATTGGCACGGTCGGTATATAAGGCATCACCAGTGCTGTCGTCTGCATAGCAATGAATGTTACCAGTTTGCAACATATTGTTGCGCGCCACTATTAATGTCTTGTACATGGCAACACTAGTTCCCACTAGCGCCCTCTAGTACCGAGTAGTAGAACTAGGAGAGTCAAGATCCTTCTAGAAATTTCGGGACCGATATGTACTCGAACATTCTAGATGTCGCTACAGTAGAAGGTTCTGGAAACTATCTGAGGGCCTATATAAGGCCGGTATAGACCACGACCGAGTCAGTATTGAACTGGCAATATAAGTGAATACTTCGAAGTGATAACTTCGAACTAAAGTGATCAGTAATACAATTGTGTTTTATTATTAGTGTGTTTTTAAGTTGTAATTAGTGTTCCGTAAATAAAGTGTCAATTTTGATAATTCAATCGGCAGTTTTTAATTGTCTCGAACCCCTAGCTCGTAACAATATCATTGATATGCAGGAGAAACAGCGTTGGTGATAGCACGCAGCCTTGTGGAACACCAGCGTTGATGGGCTTTAAATCAGAGCATGCACCGTATACTACGACTCGATACAAGCGAATAACAATAATTTAATTACTTTGTACCACGATACAATAAAATAATTATCAGGATCTCAGGCTCATGATCAATGCATGTTGTTTAAACTTTTTTAAACGCTTGCCAGGCGTGGCAACTATTCAAATATCCCATTTATGAGGCAATCTGTGGGGAGTTCTATGTTTAGCAGTAAACTTTAGTAGGATGTAACGGTAACGGTCCGTGGACGGATCAGTCGTTCCAGGAGAGCGAGTGGGCGACGCACTGGTGGCGTCACTGGGCGCGCGACACGCAGCCCTACCGTTGCGGACTCTGCGAAAAGTCCTTCCGCGACACTTACCAGCTCTTCAAACACGGTGAGCAATTTCCTCCCATCCTTCTACAACGATCATATTTTCTTGTAGTTAGATCAATTGCTATTTAAATGAAACTAATTTTTACGGATTTTATCGCGTATATTAACTTTTTTTTATTCCATGTTTTAACTGCACTGCAAAATTATTTCGCCAAATTTTTTACCCCAAATCAATTTTAATATCAAGTCGAATCCCAGGCGTCGTCTTAATATGTTTATATTAAACGTTTATAAGACAAAATACTTCATTTTACAATCCTTTAACACGAATGTGTCCATCTATTAATCATATGGTTTTGACAGAGTTTATATTATTGTCAAAGACATTGACGTCTTTGACAATAATATAAATAAGCTTCGCACCCAACTGTTTCACTAGTTCATGTCAGCTCCACATTAATTATTTTTCGTCTTTAATTAAATAAAAAAAAAATACTTTTACTGTCACTGTCAAAACTGTCATAAAATTGTTCAGCTAAGTTTTTTCATAGATATGTTTACGTATAATGCATGTTGCAACTGTATGTACGCGTCTTTGTTTTGTATTCAAGGTCAAAATGTTGTATACGTATATGTATTTTATTATGTAAAAGTGAAAAGTGAATGTAAACTGTTGTGCACATCCAATAAATTAATAAATAAATGGATTCCCGACGTTTCGAATAGTTTACAGCACCCATGGTCCCAATGTTACAGTTAACTACGGCTACCTTCACTTTAAAATTAGTTACGTAATACCGTTAATTTGATAAGCACATGTAGAATGTGCCAAACTACCGAAGTTGTACAGATTACCAAAAATACACAAACCGAACGCCGCATTTCCAGATCGATTTGCCAAATTACAAATTGGCTCATTACTTATTATAATTTAAAATATATTTTTTTACAACCGACTTCAATATAAACTATCAAGAATAACTCAACAAGTACTGGTCAGACCTTGATGAAATTTATATGGGATCACATGAGAATCACCAGCTTTCAAATACAAAAAATCATCGAAATCGGTTCACCCAGAAAAAAGTTAAAGAACATACAGTCGAATTTTGTACCTCCTTCTTTTTGAAGTCGGTAGAAAAATACGGATTAGGACGGATAAGGATTCATACCATTTTGTGAGACAAAAGAGTAGGTCTTTTGTCTCACAAAATGGTATGAATCCTCTTCTTACTGACAATGAAACCATGGCCAGTTTTGATTTTCAGTCTCTATTTACGTGATTAAATAAAATAATTTAAAAGCTGAAGGTATTCCGCGTTATTTTGACATCAGGACGTCAATCATCTCTGTCCATCGTGGCGACGGGTGCTGCAAAGAACTATAGAAAAAATAAGTAAACTAAACAAGATAAAATCCGTAAAAATATTTCTATTCAATATGTTCGCGTAAATATAAGAAATTATAATGTTAATTCTCTTTACTTGTGAAGTAAAACATGTTGTATAAATTGAAAATTACTTTATTGTTGTCAATGATGATGCTTTAAATGCGAACTTGTGATCCCAATTTGATAAACAGTAGACCTAAAGCTGTAAATGGTTTTTATTAATTCAAAACGCGTTTTTCTTAAACCAATATTTTTTTTCCATAAGGCACCTGTAATACGTAAGTAGAGGTTATTTAGCGTGTATTTTTGTGTATCAGGACTAGCGCATGAAACTTCTGCAGCGAGCGAGCCGGAGAAGCGCTTCATTTGCGACCTCTGTCCCGAGGGGTTCGTCTATATGCGGTAAGTCGTTGTCGTATATTATTTATTATTTTATTTACCACGGATTACCAACAAGATCGACACCACAAATACATATTATACAAATGCAATAGAAAAAAGGTATGTCAGCCTACTTAAAGGCAACATCGGAAAGCGAGGAGATACAGTCCTCGCTAAGTCTTATTAATCATGTAATAAGAATTATGGAAAGTCAAAAACAGAAGTACATCTCTCCTACCCGGAGTACAAATTAGAACACACCTTTGTTCCCCGGGCTGGAGTTTTCGTGTACGTCAGAGAGGACATCTGTTTTCGGCAGCATTTTCACTTTCTGTTCATCTTATGACTGCGCGTAGACTGCGACGACCATACCCGCGTCTACGGATTAGGGATAGGCAAGGGAAAAAAAATATCGATATATATCGAATCGATATTTTAAACAGTATCGTAATATATCGCGTGATAAATATCGATATATCGTCATTATTTGCATGATGTAAAGATAAGGTCCAAAATTTTATATTACTGACGGTTGAACGACGAAAATAAAACGATACTTTTGTATTGATAGTGATACTTTTGTACCTCCTTTTGTTATTACATGTTTTGTCATTAATACATTTTAAAATATATCGAAACTGATACGAATTCGATACTCCTAAATAAATATCGATATATCGCGATTTAAAATATCGATGATATATATCGATATTTTTATTAAAAAATATCGATATCTCGATATTTTTTGATCAAGCCTACTAGGGATGCCTCTATAGGTCCCATAGCGGCAATGCCAACGCAGACAGACTCATCGACCACGTCCAAATGGCTGCAGACTCCGTGCTACAGCAGGTTCCACCCGCAGAGATCGTGATGCTTGGTAATTTTAATGCCCATTCAGCGTGGTGGGCGTTAAAATTACCAAGCATCACGACTTGGTTCTCGTTTAACCGATCATGCGGGTAGATCTGTTTATGACTGTTTTGGCATATGGTCTGACACAACTGGTTACCTCGCCTACGCGGATCCCAGATGTGCAAATCATGTACTTTCCCTCTTGGACCTTCTGCTGACTTCTCATCCGGATGGATATCAGGTCTCCGTCGATGCCCCTCTTGGCTCTTCGGACTATTGTTTGATCCGGAGTGCGGTGCCACTCACGCTCCCATCGCGGTTGCGTTCTGCAGGCCGTTTTTGGCATTATAGGTCCGCCGATTGAGACGGGATGAGATCTTTTCTGGAAAAAGGTGGGTTTGCTTCACGCCGGACTTCAGCCTTGTTCCTGATTCTGTCTCTGATGTGGTGCTACAGGGAATGGAACTTTTTATTCCATGATCTGTGGTACCTATCGGAGGCAAAACCCAGCCATGGTTTGGTCGCTCCTGAAAAGGCTGTCCAAGGGAACTTTTGTCAGCCATCTCTCCCATTTCTGCATAGGGAGAACGACTCACTGGCCAATGCCGCAAAGAACAAAGCCGATCTACTGGGCTCTCTCTTTGCATCCAACTCGACTCTTGATGACGGGGGGAACACACCGCCAACCTCCCCGCGGTGGGACTGCTCCATGCATGCTTCATGCAACGCTGGGTGCGCAGAGTACTCCTCTCCCTGGACGTCAACAAGTCGGGTGAGCCTGATGGAGTCCCTCCTATTGTGCTGAAGACTTGTGCTCCAGACTTGGCACCGGTTTTAACGCGTCTTTGCGGTACCGCTACTCCCTAGCCGTAGTACCGAAATCATGGAAGACAGCTTTCGTGCACCTGATCCCTAAAAAAGGTAATCGCTCTGATCCGTTCAACTATAGGCCTATCGCCATCACCTCCTTGTTCTCTAAAATAATGGAGCCCATTATTAACAGTCAGCTCATGCGGTACCTTGAGGATCACCAGCTGATTATTGACCGTCAGTACGGTTTCCGCCGCGGTCGCACGGCTGGTGATCTTCTGGGTTATTTAACTCATAAATGGGTAGAGGCAGTAGAGTTCAAAGAGAAGGCGTTGGCCGTTAGTTTGGACATAGCGAAGGCCTTCGATCGAGTTCGGCACAAAACGCTTCTTACGAAGCTTCCTTCCTATGGGCTTCCCGAGAAATTGTACAATTGTATCACCACTTTTCTTGCAGATTGGAGCATCAAGATCGTATTAAATTTGCCAAACAATTACTTTGCGTACATTCGCTAGATAAAATAAAATGATGCGTCTTACCTAGTTTACGGTGGCTAACCGCTAACAGCCGGTCTGTCGTGGTTATGTGGGACTCACTATGACTACCTACTGGGACCCTAAGTGATACCCACTAAACTCCACTTTGGGGACTGACAATTGGCCGATTAAGCCGCTTTGTCGGATCGGAAGCGACCCTCTTTTGGGAGAAGAGGGCGCAGGCGGCTACGAGCCGCTGAGGGAGAGCCTAGTAAGGCAAATTTATTATGAAAATTTATTATGAGTTGGCATGAGCCGCCAGGAGGCAGTTCAGGTCGTTTGAAAGTTTATTAGGCGGGTCCGAGAGAGAGTTTCTCGGCCTTCGGACTCGATTGCGAGATTGGGTGGGGCTGCATAAGTAGCTGCCTCACGAATAAGATGATTGGAGTGCGACTCTGAGGCTTTGAAGAAGTTCTCAGAGAGTTTTTTTAGAAATTGTTGAATTGTAGGGAGCTCTAGGTCCCGATGAAGGTCGGCATTACGGACGTACCAAGGTGCGTTCGCAGCTCGACTACAGAAAAGATTTTGAACTATTTGGAGTTCATTAATAATTTTAGGGTCAGCGTGGGCAAAAATGGGGCCCGCGTAGGACATGACTGGTCGTATGCAGACCTTATAAAGGGTACGCTTGTTTCTGAGGGACATTTTACTGTGTCGGCCCAACATACTGTTGAGCCTACTCAGGTAAAAACGACGGGTGACGGGTTACTCTTTTGACGTAGGGCCTGAAAGTGAGCCTTGGGTGAAACCTAAATATTTGGCAGACATACGTCTGCCAAATATTCAGGTCAGGCCAGGTGACAGGGGTCCCTAGCATACGTATTGGTGGAGTGTTTTTGTGACGGCGTCGTTTATAATCGAAGTGAACGGTGGAGCTCTTCTCCTGGTTCACATCGTTGCGCCATTTTTGAACCAAGCTCCTAGGTCATTAACTGACTTTTGGCCCTTGTTCCGTATGAAAGGTAGCGAGATACCTTTACAGTAGAGAGCAGTGTCGTCTGCGAAGAGGGAGAGCTGAACACCTTTCGACGGGATGGGAATGTCGTTGGTGAACAGGATGTACAGCAGAGGAGCAAGTACTGAGCCCTGAGGGACACCAGCTTTGATAGGGCGCTGTAAAGATAGCGTGCCTTCGTGTCTAAAACGAAAGGTACGATGCTTTAGATAAGAGGTCACGAGACGTACTAAACGATCGGGGAGACCTATTTTGTATAACTTGTAGATAAGGCCTGTATGCCAAACTTTATCAAAGGCTTTAGCTATGTCGAAAATTCTATTAGTCTTATGACGACGAGGATAAAAACCGCTGAGGATATATTCCACAATACGGTGAACTTGTTGGGGACATGAGTGTTTCACTCGGAAACCGAATTGCTGGGGAATGATAAGAGGGTCACCGTCTGTGGGAAACAGATGGCGCCTCATGTGAGTTTGGATGACTCTTTCGAAGAGCTTGCCCATGGCCTTGAGGAGGCTAATGGGGCGATGACTGGAGGGGAGGTTGAGAGGCTTGCCTGGCTCGGGAATACCAATCACAGTTGCCTCTTTCCACGTAGTGGGAAAGTAACTAAACTAAGAAAGTAAAAAGGTTGAAGCAGGCGTTGAAGATAATCCATGGTCCATGACCCTGTATGGGGCCCCTGTGTGGGCGATAGACATGACGGCCAGCACTCTGCGCAAACCGCAGAGGGCGATGGCCGTCAGAGTCGTCCGCGGGTATCGCACGATTTCCTACCAGGCGGCTTGTGTCCTGGCCGGATCCCCGCCCTGGGACAGTAAAGTACGCGAAAGTACTCGCGTCATTATATCGATGGCGCGAGGAAGAGCGGGCACGGGGCACGAGGCCGGTGCAGCGGCAGATCGTGCTGCGCCGAGAAGAGCTCCGTCAGGTCTTGGTGGCGGAATGGCGGCAAAGGCTTGTGCGCCCTACCGCCGGCTTCGCTAACGTCGAGGCGATCCGGCCAATACTCGAAGACTGGCTCGGGAGAAGGCACGGCTCCCTGTCGTTTAGGGTGACGCAAGTGCTGTCGGGGCATGGCTGCTTCGGCAAGTACCTGTGCCGCATAGACAGGGAGCCGGACGCTCGTTGCCACCGCTGCGTCCATTGCGGGGAGGACACGGCGCAACACACGCTCGCCGAGTGTGTAGCTTGGGAGGAGCAGCGCCGTGTCCTCACAAATAAAGTAGGGGGCTATCTGTCGCTGCCGGCTTTAGTGCGGAAAATGGTCGGTAGCGCAGAGTCGTGGGACGCGGTGGTGTCCTTCTGCGACATCACGTCCTCGCAACGGCAAACTGCGGAACGGGAATGGGAGATCTCGACTCCCTTCCCCGGCCGCAGAAGGCGCACCGGTCGCAGGAGAAGGGCGGACAACGCCCTTTTCCGGCCCCCATGAATGGGTGCAGGGGCGAGGGACTTGGGGAAGCCCCCGCCACCCCTATTCGATGGACCCGAGGCGGAGGCGCGCATGGGTGTCGGCGCGTGCCCCTGAGGTGATACACGGGGTAGTTGAACACCTCCCTACCCCGTGCAGGAGACGAGGCCCGGACAGACCGGGCCAGCACTAGTGTGGGGATGCGGAAGAATTTGGATTCCCGCGGCCCCACGCGCACATGCGAGGAGACACCGGGGTGGTTTTAGCCGGTAAGAGTCCGGCACGCCCCTGCGCCTTTCCCCAGGCGGAGGTAGTTCATGAGGATTTCCCCCCGTAAAAAAAAAAGAAAAGGCGTTCAAGATAATAGATAAAAGGGTTAACACCTGCTCAGGAAAGTGTTTTAGGGCTTGGTTGGAGATGCCATCCGCGCCCGGAGCCTTTTTGGGCT